AGGGACTCCTGAATTTACAGTACAGTATTTTGATTCATACGTCATGTTATCTATACTTAATGATGTTTTTTGCATTCTTTTAGTTAAATATGTTCTAAACCATTTCAGACTGTACCCTCTGATTCCATGTACCTCTAGCTTTTTTAACAGAACCTCATGGTCTACACAATCAAAAGCCTTTGACAGGTCACAACAAATTGCTGCAGTGGTCTGTGACCTGTCCCATGCTCTGTAAATATTGTCAGTTAGAGAGATGAGTGCCGAGTTGGTGGAATGAGATTTTCTAAAACCATGTTGACTTTTGGTTATTAATTTATTTTTCTCTAGATATTCCTGTAATTGAACATTTACAGCTTTCTCAAATATTTTTGAAAAGACAATGAGACTGGACGATAGTTTTCAATCAAGTTTTTATCCCCTTTCTTATAAATTGGCCTAACAATTGATATTTTTAGTTTTGATGGAAAATCACCTCTAAACAGTGACTGATTAATTAATGTGCAGATTGGCATAGCTATATAATCTTTACACTCTTTAATTAAGGTGACAGGAATCTCGTCCCAACCAGTACCAAGATACATAATCGACACATATGCTTACTATGTGTCTTATTACTTACTATATGATGGACCGCGCAGGCATCTTGCCTCTAAGACTGACGTTTTCCAAACGAATATAGAAGTTAGATCTACATTCTTCATTTTAGGCTTGAAATAAGTTTGTTTGTGGGTAAGAGCGAATGAGTAAGCATGAACAATAATTAATCCCCCCTTTTACCCTTCTCCCCGACACGCCACCATACCACGGCATCTTACTAGCAGAGCTCAAGGTCATTGACGTAATTGTAATGAACTACATACATTTAGTCTTAATAGGCTAAATGTCAAGTTATTTTGAAGCTGGACATAGAGTTTTAGTGCCGTTTTCATTGGCATCTACCACTTCTAAGATGACTAAGATGGCACTAAGATGGCGGACCTGGCTTCAGCTGCTTGTATGTTAGTTAGATAGGCCATCTATTGGTCTTTTGTGATCGTTGATTTAAACTAATGGAATTATGAAGAAAATTTGAACATGAATTATTAGCAGTTTTGCAGGGATGATAAACAATAGTTTTTTTATTTTTTTTTATTTGTATTGCTTGTCAGTTGGCAACAAATCTTAGAGATGTGTATACATTTTTTAGGACAAAATTGAATTGGCAGATATCATGGTAAAGTAGCGTACTAGAAAAAGTTACTGTCACCTCATCCAATTTTTACAGCAGTGCTGTTGACATGCTAGGCGAGCAACCGCGACAGTGAGGACGGGGAACAGCTGATTTCATGTTCCTAGTTGGCAAATTGTCTGCTAGCTACTAACGTACACATGCATAAGCCATCAGCGGTAGCACCAATAGCCTCATTGACTATAAAAACACTTGTGTTAAGGTTTAAATACAGTAGTTAATGCTATTACTGAATATGATACTATACATATTGTTACTAATATATGAAATGGAGAAAAACATTACCCTAAAAATACAAAATTTCCCAATTTGTATCCAGACCTTTTTAAATAGCTTAAAAAACAAATAATTTAGTATATCAAAGTGTTTTTGTACGGCTATTGGTAACAGGACGAATTCAAAAATTGTAAATTTAAAATCCCCATGTTATTCTTATAAAGAATATTGTAAAATGTTGTAGTTTGCTTGTTTATGGATATATTTTGATCAAACTTGGCAAATTTGTTCAAACAATTACAAAACTATTTGGATCATCAACGGTACTTACTCTAGATTTCTCAAGGTAGGACACGTGAATTGGAATTTTGGCGTTACAGACACAATGACAGAAACAATCAAACAAACGTACAGATATTGACATAAGACTCGGTTCGGCTTTCTTATTATATAACACGTAGAAATAACCAAACACTTCATGAATATACGCAATGTACAGACAAAAGAGTAAAGACAGTAATCTTATAATTAACTATAGTGTTTCTGCCCGTGCTTCGCAACGGGGTGAGAATCTTTGGGTCTCTAAATCCACTGTAAAAAATAGTATATTTCGTACCTAGGGCCGAAAGTGACGTTTTGCCGACTCGAGATCGGGTTTTAAGTTCGAGACGAAGTTGAGAACGTGAAACGATCGAGAGCTGCAAACCCATTTTGGCTTGTGGTACGAACGCTATTTTTCACCCAAGTATGTTTTGCAATATAACGTCCCTCTTATTTATGTGAAATATTTTGAGGAATCAGTAAAATCAAAAATAACAATAAATAGTTGTCTAGGCAGCTGTGTCAAAAAAACAAGTCTATTACAATGCCATGGATACAGCTTGTGCATTTAATATACATTAATGTTTTAAGTAAATAAGCGAACAAGTGATTTTGCAGCCCTAGGGATGTAAACGCCTGCTCGGCCCCTATATGACGATGACAACTGGCATGGCCAGCAAAACATAACTTTCAGCCACCAATTAACGTATGTAAAACAGCTAAAAACATCATAGTGTGGTGAAAAATTTGTTCCACATACATGAATTAATTATATGCATACAGAAAAAATAGAGTCATACTTATTTCGTATTTTTATGTAAACGAGAGGTCGTCCAGTGGTCGAAACTCGACCAAAAATATGTAATGTAAACTTACTCACTTCTTTATTTTCACCCCACACTGTATAAATAAAACATGTGATTGGAGTTTCTTCCATTTGTTTTGATTTTCTGTTTATATTTCGTTGTTATTTCGTCACCACCATGGCAACGCATAAGATCCATGTTAATTTTTTCAAATTTTTAAACACATTTTTTGTGCTTATCTTTGAGCCTATTTAAATTTATAAAGGGATTCTGCACACCTACAGGAAAATAGCTTTCTAACGGTATGCGTAGATTTACCCCACGATGCACACGAGCTGAGAAAAAAGGTTTTAAAGAAACATGCTTGCCTATTAATATATAGATTTTTTGTATATTCCCATGAAACTGATAATTTACCCAGCACTTAAGGCCTTTAATCCAAGTATCGAAGTATCTAAGTTCGTAAACCATACATATAATGTGACGATAAAATATCAACGACATAGCATTTGGTCCATTGACTTTAAATCCATTAATTGTCAAAATTATTAGAGCTTGGAAAAAACTGCATGTAAAAAAAATCTTTACACTAATAAAAGACGACGTGAGGAGCGCGGGCAATCGCAATGAGCTACAGCGGCTAGGACATAGCCATATGAATACAGAACGGAATGAAGGAACTAGAACGGAGAACTGGCAACAGCGCACGCGAGAAGTAGGTGGGGCGAACACACTGCTCAAGCGCTACAACGCATTAGTGGCATCCTGTCCACACACTTTTGATATATACCGATTTGTGGCAAGGTGCTACAATTAAAAACCGGAATGTTAGATGTTAAAATGGAGTGTTCATTAAAAATATCGATGCACACATGTTTCTACCACCTTCCTTCATCCACTGGTGGCCGCAGTTTGAAAGATGCCACAATTAGGTGTTTGCGAGTATTCGGTAAAACCCCGTAAGTGTGTGTGTGTACATGTGTACAGAGCTACAGGCCTAAACTGTTGTCCAATTTTGATGAAATTTGGTATCTAGGTTGCATTCCATGATAATTTTGATTTTTAACACGTTGACTGCGCGCGCCGACTTTACAGGCGCTCCCCAGTGGCGGGCGAAGCCCCGGCGCGCAACCGAATCAGCGAACGCAATTGGCATTCAAATATTTCAGTCTGACGAATCACAAAAGAGCAGTGGTGACTGTGCTGCGTTACCCCGAGAGTGGATGTAGTTCACTGAAACACCCAAAGGTAGCAGCACTGCATGGATCCGTATCCAGTGTCTTTGTAATGTGGGTTGAAGAGAAAAAAATCCCCGAAACCGGGACAAAAGCATTGCCAGACGGGATTTTACGGTAAATTTTAGTACCAACCTACACCAAAGTAAAGCTCGCATTCTAAGCTGGCAGGCTGGCAACGATTATAACGTCTCCGTCTGAGGCTAAGCTCACACTGACTCAATATATTACTGTTGGTCTGGTGCCGACTGTAGTCGGCGCGCGCCACCTGGGAGCGCTGGCGACGTGTTAATTGTGATTTTTCCTTAAAAACCTATAAATGAACAAAAATCAGACTTTTTAGGAAAAAAACCCGTTTTTATTAAAATTAATGCGTTATGGTCCTTATAATAAAAAAAAGTGGGACCTCCCCCCCCCCCATTATTGTAAAAATTACGGTTTAAAAGTTATTGCAACTTTTGTGTTTTTTCCCTATAAAATATGATAGTTACTCCCACCGCATACCCATGATAAAGGTTGTTGACCAGCTTATGGGAGAAAGTATGAGTCAGATCGCTAATACTGTTTATTAATTATGTGTTTGGATTTGCATTTTGACATTATGGACAATACAAATGTAGATTTTTGTAAAAAAATTAGGTATATTCTAGCAGCATTTTAGTAAGATTTAAAGAGCTATTTAGACGCGATAACCTTTAGATCTTAAAGTTCACTCGGGATGGAACGGGAAAATTCATAAAGGGTAAGACTGGATTTCTCATTACAGTAAAGCGAGATGAAAAAGGATTTTCTCGATCCTGTTAGTGGGATTTTTGTTTCGGTCGTGTGGAGACACTTTTCATGATGTCTAGCTATTGCAAAACTCGTGACCTACCTTCCACTGGCACTGTACCTAGTGAATAGTTAGCGTCTAGTTGACCAATATTAAACGTTTTTTTTCATGTGGGTTTTTGTGTCCAGTGTTATGTAATGGTTTAAAACTTCTGACGAACTCCAATAAGATGAAATTTTTTGTGTTTAACATTCTGATCTGAATATTTGCTATGTTTTATGAAGCATGACACAGCTGTTGTTGACATAAAGTATACTTAGCAATGGATTGTTCCAACAGCAATGCTGGTAAAATAAATCTTTATTGATTCTGCTGATTTAGAAGCCACACAGCATAAAATTAATACTTGTACAATATTTTAGATGACTTGGATGTCTCCCCTGACATATTTGAGTACTTCCTCGGAACACTTCCACTGTTGCACTCAGACCCTACACTTTGGTGTGTTTCTGCTTGGAATGACAACGGGAAACTCAACTTGGTGAATAAGGAAGCAAGAGATGTTATATACAGAACAGACTTCTTTCCAGGACTAGGTTGGATGCTAAACAAACAACTGTGGAGTGAGCTTTCCGTCAAGTGGCCTACCAGGTACAAGAACAACTTTGAAACCAACTTTCCTTGGTTGGATTGGGCCTGTTTGTAAATTTAATTAAATAGATGTTGGTCTATTTGATTGATTAAAAGTTAAACATTCAGTGTTTTGTTTGGTCTCTAGGAACTAATGAAAAGTTCAAAATTCTGGACCAAGGTTTTACCATGAAGACAACACAGTAATAGCTACTTACCTACACAGATCTTTTTGCTAAATACACGTGTCCTACAATGTCACTTCAAAAGGTCGCTGATAAGCTACAGATTTGTATTTCAGGGATACAAAAAAACATACCTTACATAAATACATACCCTAACATACATACCGTAAATTCAATTGAAAATAATCAAAAACAACCTTAAGACTTGTTTAAAAATCTGATGATCATTAATGGGACAAATTGATTGTATGAACGTTTACATATTTATTGTCTTCGATAAGGATAAAGTAAAAGTAAATACAGTAGAACTCTATCCATCCGTGTCAATTGGAACCGGACCCTATTTGAAAATTGGATTTTTACTAAAGTCTTTTAAAGAAAAAAGTGCAAGTCATGCTGAGGTTTTACTATAGCGATCGCAGTGCGTGTCTGTGACGATTTTGCAATCAGAAAATTAACGCTTTCACCACGGTTGCGGTGACCGCAGGAGACGATGATAGTGTCATCACAACCTTGGGATACATCTAACTTTTTGCCGCGATCGCGAAAAAACAATGATGATGTTACCGTGACCGTGGGAGACGATGATGGTGTCATCACAATCGTGAGACAGGTTTTGGATTTTGCCGCGATCACGACTTCCTTAATAACAATTCTTATTACTATGGTTTTAAACTTTAAATGATTTCTGTAAGCAATTTGAGTAGTCGGTGATTCAGATAGTTGGAGTTCTACTGTATTATTTTATTGTTCTATGATTTAGAAGGTGATGGATGTGTTTCAGCTACTGGGACGACTGGATTAGACAACCTGAGCAGCGAAGGAACCGAGCTTGTCTTCGGCCTGAGCTGTCTCGGACACGCACATTTGGCAAAATAGGTGTAAGCAAGTAAGTACCTGCCAGTGTCACACCTCATTATGTATTATAATTGTAACTGTAATTATTATTACCTAAATCAAACTTAGTAACTTCTTAGAAAGACAAATTTAGCATTCTCAATCCAAATAAAGATTTAAAAACTTCTTGAGCTGATGTAAAATTGTAAAATACTTTTAAATTTGTGATCACAAAAATAATAAAGGTTGCCACTATATTTTGAGAGTCTATACATCAGTCCATTCTTGGATGTATCAGTACACCCATTGCTTTGCTGACTATTTTACACACAAGCCTGAGGTCCTTGTAGGCAGGTAAATTTGAAGTATAAAGAGGTTACCTGACTTGTTCATACTGTCAACTATCAAGTTCACTTGTATACTTTTATAGTAGAGCTGATATTAAAAAGTTACACCTTCATTTATAGCATGAAACTTAACTGGTCATGATAGTCTGATTTATCTATTAACCCATTCCCGCCTAAAGACGGGCGGCGCCCGTCCTAGCGCGCCAGGTTACGAAAGACTAAAGACGGGGCAGCGCCCGTCCTCACGCATAATGCATTATTATATTTTGTTCTCATGATTAAAAACGATCAATAACCATCCACTATGTTTTATTCACTACTATACTTTGTTTTTATACTCTATGCGTTGTCTGCTGGTAGCCTGTAATGTTTTTTTTTGTTGTATTATTGATTTGTTGTCATGATGTTGTATTCTAACCTTAGTTGTGCAACAGCGGTTCGTTTTGTTGTTGCTATGGCGTTTCGTCGCGATGATTTATTCTTACAAAGTGATCGTTTTGCTCAGTTTGTTGATGATATTTTAGCGGAAAGTGGTTGTGAAGTGAGTGGTGATGAAGAGGACGAACGAATTATCAGTGATGAAGACGTAAGTGTTCCAAGTGTGTCTAGTCTACCAAGTTGTAGTTCGGCTAACCTAGCAACCTTGAATCCTACTCTTGATGAATATGACGTTGATTTACCGAATGTTGAAGAAAGTGACAATGTAAATATTGAAAATAATGTAAATATTCCAAATAATGTAAATATTCCAAATAATGTAAATATTGAAAATCGAGCTCTGAATCCTGGTCGTAATAGGCGTAGACCTAGGCGTGAACCTATTCGCAGACGTAACCGTGTGAACCGTAATGAACCCGTTCGTAGGCATAGGCCTCGAAAACGCATAACAAAACCAAAGCCCTGGGACTGGTTTGAGGGTGAAAATGAGGTAGAAAATATTCCTTTTACCGGGAAACACGGGATAAATCCTGTTATATCTAGACAACTGACAGACAAGAGCAATGAACTGGATGTGCTAGATCAGTTTTTGGGAAATAATTTTTGGGAACAGGTATGTGACGAAACAAACAGGAATGCTCACAAATACCTAGATGAGGGCATGCCTAATGTGAAATGGGTAGATTTGACCATTGATGAACTAAAAGCCTATTTTGCTTTAGTGGTACTCATGGCACAAAATGTGAAAGCTAATATCCATGACAACTGGTCGACGAGAAGGGTTTTGCATCAACCTATTTTTGGCGAAACGATGTCACGAGACCGATTCAAAACTATCTCTCGTTTTTTACATTTCTCATCTTCTGTGGACCCTAATGACAAACTAAGAAAAATTAGGCCTATTATTGAGAAGTTGATTGCATCCTATAAGAAAGTATTTACTCCTCAGAAAGAAATTTGTGTTGATGAAAGCCTAATAAAATTTCGAGGCAGACTGAGCTATATACAGTTCAACCCATCAAAACGAGCCAGGTTTGGTATAAAGATATACAAGTTGAATGACTCTAAAACTGGCTATTGTTATGACTTCAAAATTTATACTGGCAAAGAGACAGATATACAGCCCCAAGAAGAAAATGAGGAGAATGTAGATGATCCTGAAAATGGAGAAAATCTTGAGGTTGGCGAAAATCTGACAGAAAATGCTGCAACCCCGGAGAAATCTTTTTTACTTAGTGAAAAAATTGTATTAGAAATTTGTGCAGATCTGTTGGATGAAGGCCGGGTTTTATACTTAGACAACTGGTATAGTTCACCTAAACTCTTTTTAGAGCTTTTGAACAGGCATACGTACGCTGTAGGAGTTGTGAGGTCTGATAGAACAAACTTTCCAAAAGAAATAAAAAACAGACAGCTCCAATTAGGTGAACTTACCTTTTTGCACACTAAGAAAATCTTAGCCCTAAAGTGGAAGGACAGAAAGGATGTAGCCATGCTATCAACCATCCATACCCGACCGGAATATGAGGAAGTCATTCCACAACGAGAGAGAAGACGTCCAAATCCTCAACCACAACTCAAACCAAATGTTGTGATAAACTACAATAACAATATGAACGGTGTGGACAAACAAGACCAACGACTCTCATGCTTCCCGGTGATGCGCAAGTGCATGAAAGGGTACAAGAAATTGTTTTTTTATCTTTTCGATGTTACATTGAACAATGCCCGAGTGATTCATGAGATTGTAACAAAGAAAAAGTCTACTATGTCAAAATTTAGGATAAATTTGGCTGAACAGATTTTGGAAAGTGTCAATCTAACTAACAGACCAGTAGGGGGAAGGCCATCGGTTGCAGCTGAATCACCACTGCGGTTACAGGCCAGGCATTGGGGTCATTTTATAAGGAAGATTTTGCCCACTTCTAAGCAAAGGCCTTCAAGGAAGTGTAGAGTGTGTAGTGCTCAAGGCAGGAGAAGTGAAACCGTTTACGAGTGCAGGAAGTGCCTTGTGCCTCTGCACTTAGAAACATGTTTCGAGGTGTTTCACACCCAAACAAACTTTTGAAACCCAGAAAAAAGTTGTAAATAGAGTGTAAATAGTGTAAAACTGTATATAATATTGTGGCAGAGAGGTCTGGAGCTCACAAATAAGCAAAAAAAGTAAGTGATCAATCTTATATTTATTATATTAGGCTATAAGGTTTTCTTGAGTATTCGAGTATGAAATAAGACGAATCACGTTTTTGGTTATAATATGCTTGGTAATTGTCCGGTGGTAAGAATAATTATAATATAATCATATTGAGAATGAAAACCCCAACACTTTGAGTACCCACAAAGATATTTAGAACGAAACTTGTTTTCCTTGAAATTTCCAAAAAATTCCCTGAAATTCCGGGGAATTTCCCTAAAATTCCGGGAAATTTCCCTGAAATTCCCTAAAATTTCCCTGACAACTAATTTTACCCATTTTATAGTTAAAAATTAATATAATCATGCTAAGAATATAATTTACCATTTATTTCAATACTCACAACACCATAACTTAGTACACATGCAATTTTTGTGAAAAGCTTCTATTAGGCCTATTCAGGCCTATTTTGTTGTTTGCAGAGTTTTACAAAAACAGCTATAAAATGAAGGATTTTATATATAAACAAACCAAATAAAGTTTTTTATGTAAGGAATTGAATACTATTTATGAATTTGGCCAAGAAATTGATTGAAAAAAAAATTAAAAATACTTTTTTTAGGTATGCTTTCATAAAATATATTTTTTTATAAATATATATAAAATCCATATATATTTTTAAAATTGCGATAAAATTTTTTTGATTGGAAATTAGTGTCACATAAAAGGAAATTTTATGTAGATCAATTTAAACACAAGTGTTAGCCATTTATTTCATAAATTACAATTTTTATGGATTTTTTACTAAAACACTGCCCATTGGCCCATTTTAACTCAGTTCTAACTGCATGCTACTAGACAAATAACTCAGTCAGGAATGGGTTAAAAATCAAAAACTCATCAGACTACAAATCCATTAGAAAATATCAAAAATCACTGGAATTTTACTTTCTAACCAACACTTTGTCATGAATGTTAAGGCATTAAGGCCTTCCTACACCGCTGGATGTACATAGCTGGATGTACACCTTGCTGGGCAAGCTAGCTACACGCCAATTCACACATCCGCGGATGCTATACCAGCCACGATTGCTGTTGTATACCGTCAGTATTCGGTAATTATATCGATCACGGACGTCTCGCTAAAATTATATTTTTTTCACTATTCTCATGCTAAATAATATCCTGAATTCAAAAATGATAATCATTTTCCCCGTAAAAGCTGAAAAACAAAAAAAAACTACATTTTTGTGGAAATGGGTCATACTCAAATTATCCGGTAGAGTGAGCTGAACAAGAATATGCAAGAATTTTTAAGATCCGATGGATATTAACAGAGATACAGCTGGAAAAGCATAAGGAAATCTAGTTAGTTCCAAAATGTCCAAAAATAGGTAAGGTTAGGTTATATTATATTATATTATATTACATTATATTATACAGGGTTGGGCAAATGTGTGGATACCCCTAGTTCGCACTTGGTGAAGTGTCAAGCGATGTATTGCCAGTGGAGTATGGTGTGGTCCAGGGTTCGACCCTTGGTCCTGTTTTATTCCTCATTTATATTAACAATATTTCTAAAATTCAAACACAAGGAAAATTAACATTATTTGCTGATGATACTCTAATATTTGTAACCGGAGCATCCTGGGAGGAGGTTAAAAACAAGGCAGAATCAGACCTCTGTTTACTAAAAAAATGGCTTGACCAAAATGTATTGTCCCTCAATATATCTAAAACAAAATTTATGCCAATTTCATTACGCAAGATAACCGAATACAAACTTGATAACCTAACTATTCATGTCTGTGGAAATCATTTCAATAACTCTTGTTTCTGTAGCAAAATTGAAAAAGTTGATTCTTACAAATACCTTGGTATTGTTTTTGATTCAAAGATGAAATGGTCGGAACATGTTGAATATCTAAAAAATAAATTACGTAAATATATTTATGCATTTAGGCAACTTAGTGATATTCTCGAAGAGCAAGAAATTAAAATAGCATACTATGCATATGTTCAATCATTGTTGTCTTTTGGAATTATTGCTTTTGGTGGTGCTTACAAAACTATCTTGCAACCTGTTTTTGTAGTGCAGAAAACAATACTTAAAGTTGCTTTCAAAAAACACTTTAGATATTCAACTGACGATCTTTTTGTAGAATCGGGAGTTTTGACAGTCAGGCAGTTATTTTTAAAATTTATTTTAGTTCACATGTACAAAAACTTTGATAATATTTTTGTAAAAATTACTCATTCCCACAATACGCGCTTTTCTCGAAATGTTGGTGTAAGTGTTCCACAAACTTTCAAATCATTTTCAAATACGAATTGCTTTCACTTAACTCAAATCATTTATCGTAACATGTGTAACAGATATCAAAATGTCAACATTCTAAATTCACCCTCTCTCTCTCTCTATTTAAGAAGCATGTTGTGGGGTGGCTTGTAGGATTGAGTTCAGAGGACACCGAGGCCGTTATCGCGTTGGGCGGACCTGACCGTTGACCCTACACAATCACTGATACACCACTTTCACTGACTGACTAATACACCACACTCCACCTCTCCTCTTCAATCTTCACCAGATTTTTACAAATTACCTCTGTTTGCACAAAGAGTTTTTTTTTTACCGTCAATTTATTCCAGAACACAAAATTCAGTTTCAAGCAAGACAAATAAAAATAAGTTTTAATTATACGATTTTTTTCTTCTATATATTTATTCTCCAATAAGATATGAGTAAATATAATGAGGAAGGGGAGATGTAGTGTCATTCATATGCCTTTGCATTTAACATATGTTTTATAATTTCAAAATGGTTATTTCTATAATTTTAAAAAGGCCGATTTTTTAAGTGTGTACAATGAAATAAAAAAAATAAACTGGACTGAAATTAGACTTATTGAGGATGTTAATTTATCTGTTGATTTTTTTATACTAAATTATATAATGTATTTGATAAGTTTGTTCCAAAAGCTAAAAAATCAATTTCAAAGTCAGTATTTTTACCTTTTTGGTAGCCTAAGGTGTCCAAAATTCTTATCTCCTGCGAGACGCGTTTCGCATTAATTACAATGCATCTTAAGTCGCTTTCATTGTCAGGTCTCAACATTGCCCACAGAAGTGGTTGTCACAATTTACAAAACATATAACACAGTTCACGAAACACATATTTATATACAGTTTTACAACCATGGTCACACACGTACTGTACATCAAGCGAGCGGGAGAAGACACGCGATACCGCACAAGGTTGTAGGCCTACTGACCCAACTGGCGTCTCGCAGGAGATAAGAATTTTGGACACCTTAGGCTACCAAAAAGGTAAAAATACTGATAATAAATAGGTGTCTAGGCTAATATCTACAAATTTCAAAGTATCCTGTTTGGTTTAATCACAACATAATATCCTTGATCAAAAGAAAAGAAAGGCTAAGGAGAAAGCTAAATAAGTATAACATGATTGAAACATTAAATGAATACAAACTGGTGGGAAGTACTATTAAAGTAAATATTAAATCAGCCTATAAAGAATATATTTCAAATTTAGAAAACAATGTGTTGAGCAATCCTCAGACATTTTGGAGTGTGGTAAAACGTCTTAGAGTTAATGATAACAGTCCAACTGTTATGAAATTGGACGATAGAGTTGTGGAGGGTGGGAGGGCCATAGCGGACGAGTTTGCTACTTACTTTAAGTCTGTGTACGAGCCTTGTCAGCTGGGCAGCGACGACCTGTGTCGGCGTGCGCTCCGCTCATATCAATGTCTCCTGTGTCTCGTATCATGATGTCCTCTCTGCACTCAAAAACCTCAAACCTAAAAGATCTCTTGGTCCAGATGGAATACCGCCATATATTCTAAAAGCCTGTGCAGATTTGTTTGTTGAACCGCTTCTAGCTATTTTTAATCTCGCGATTACCAGCAATGTTTTCCCAACGAAATGGAAGCAAGCTAAAATAATTCCCATTTTCAAAAAGGGCCGAAGAGACATCATAAAGAATTATCGTCCAATATCAATTTTGCCTGCTCCTGTTAAAGTATTTGAATCAATTCTTCATCATAAAGTGTTCAGCCATGTCAGTAAATTTCTATCTTCAAAACAGCACGGATTTTTCCCCAGCAGATCCATTAATTCAAATCTGTTAAACTTTTCTGAGTTTTGTATTCCTGTTATTGATAGTGGTAACCAAGTTGATGTTATCTACAACGACTTCGAGAAGGCCTTAGACAAAGTTGATCATCTGGCTTTGCTTTCGAGATTGAACTACTTCGGTTTTTCTGAAGGACTCTTAAAATTCTTCTGTTCATATCTCAGGGGTCGAAAACAATTTGTATCTTTTGAGGGACACCTATCAGAACAATTTGATGTAGACTCAGGTGTGCCCCAGGGCTCAAATTTGGGACCTTTGCTATTTATTTTTTACATTGATAGCTTAAAAGATTTGATAATAAACTGCGAGTTTCTTCTATATGCTGACGATCTCAAAATATTCACTATTGTCAACAACCAACAAGATTGTGTTATGCTACAAGATGATATCGATCGATTGTTTCTTTGGAGTCGTGACAATCTAAAATTTCATGTGGATAAATGTTCTGTTGTAACATATTCAAAGAAAACCCCTAGTAACCTCATCATGCATAATTATAATATTGGTGGTAGTCTTCTTTCGAGGTAAACTTCAATTAAAGACTTGGGTGTGACATTTGATTCCAGATTTACACATAATGATCATGTGATTTCCATTTGTAAGACTGCCTTCTCAATTGTTGGTCTTATCCGCAGGTTGGGCAACATTTTTACTAATCAGAGAAGTATTAAACTGTTATATTGTTCATGGTGAGGTAGCCTCTGGATCACTAAATTTAAGCTAACAAGTTTTAAGTTACTTTTAGGCTTTAAAATGAGGTAACACTCGATGGGCCTTTACATTTAAAATTGTTGACCTGCCCCCAAAATATTGTGAAAAATTGGGATACCGTCCAAAAAGTGCAGTTTTATTTTTTATGAAGGTATGTGGAGTTTAGTTTTCTTGGTGTCACCCATTAAAAAGTTAACTAGGGGTATCCACACCTTTGCCCAACCTTAGGTTAGGTTAGATTATATTATATTATATTATATTATATTAGGTTAGGTTGGGTAAGGTTAGATTATATTAGGTTAGGTTAGGTTATATTATACTAGATTTGGTTAGGTTAGATTAGATGTTAGGTTAGGTTACTAACAATATCCATTTTATTGAGCAACCTAACCTAATCTATCCCAACCTAACCTAACCCAACCTCCTAACCCCTAACCTAACCTAACCTTTCCCATCCTTACATAACCCAATGTAACCTAACGTAACCCAACTCAACCTACCTAACATAACCTAATGCAATCAGCGTAAACTCCCTCACAATTTAGATACGTTAAATGTGTGTTTTGAAATAAAATAATTTTCATAGTTTTTCCGGGAAAACGGCGCTTTCCGTTCGTATCTCCGTTAATATCCATCAGATCTGAAAATTCCGCATATTCTTGTTCAGATCACTCTACCGGTTAATTTGAGTACCCTCATGACCTATATCCGCAAAAAAAATTTTTTTTTCCGCTTTTCCAGGGAAAATGACAATCATTTTTGAATTCAGGACGTTATTTAGCTTAAGAAAAGTGAAAAAAATATAATTTCAGCGAGACCTCCGTGATCAATATCAGCTCAGACGAGCCCTGCTGTGTGAATGGACTCATATGATAAACAGGGAAGCGATATTTAGAAAAGTAACTAGCGTACATCCAGCTACACACACTACTTGTGGTGTGGAAGGGCCTTTACATCTTGAGAAATAAATAAAAAGCTAAGGAAGGACGTTTGGAATTCCTCCTATAGAATATTATTTTCTTTTGACAATGGTGTACAAGTGTAGTTTGATCTCTAATGACTAACATTATAAATACTAATATTCTGGAGAGTACTGTTCAATTTCAAGTAATGAATAAGAATTTTGCTCAGGATCATTGTATGTTTTTAATTATTCAATTTTTTACAGTGGCCTTTTTTATGAAAAATACTTGAAGTTCATTCACCTCAACGATCAGTTTGTGCCTTTTACCCAGAAGAATTTGACATTCCTTTTAAAGGTATGTAAATTGTTTCATAAGGATTTCATCACATCTTTCCAGCATAAGTCAAATCTGTTTTTTAGTTGTCTGTTCTGTTTTTTTTTTTTTCAAAAAGACAAGACAAGTATGTGATTTGTGTGGTTAACCCTTCAACGCGGGACATTTATAGTACCAAAAACGCCCTATTGCGGTACTTATTTCGGCATTCGCGCCCTTTTTATGCAAACGATCACTAAAACATACATATTTTCACTATTATTCAACTCAATTCAATTCAAACATTCTTTATTTCATTATTGTACATGAAATTAGTACATAGAATTGTGTCAAAAATATTGTCATAATCATAAGACTAAATTAAAAACCAAACATACTAAAATTCTTCCAATGAATACAGTGGTCTTGAAATTAAATAATTCTTTAGCAATTTTTTAAACTTAATAATACTAACTTCTTTTTTAATGTTATCTGGTAAATTATTATAAAATTTTCCTCCAGCATATGTAGTTTTCTTTTTGTAAAATTCTAGTTTGTGAATAGGCATTGATATGTTTAGCCTATTTCTAGTATTGTAAGAATGACTTTCCCCTAGTAAACCCAATTCATCAAAGTGAAGCTTACAATACATGATCACTTCATAAATGTACAAACTATAAACAGTCATGATGCCAAAACTTTTGAAATGCTCTTTGACAGTGTCTCGCCATTTTAGATTACGCATTATTCTTAAAGCTCTTTTTTGTAAAATCAGAATACGATCTAAATTACTTTTAGTCGTTGCTCCATACACGCAGATTCCGAAATTGATATTTGCATGTATGTATGCATAGTAAACAGTTTTTAAGGTTTCTAAATTGCATACTTTTGATAGCTTGTAAAGAGCAAATAATCCAGATATAACCTTTTTAGCCACTTGTTCAATGTGGTGATCCCAACTCAAATTACTATCAATTGTTAAACCAAGAAACTTAGTATTTTCAATTTTGTTAATTTTATGGTTATTTAGACCAACTGATACTGATTCAAAGTCATTAATTTTATGTTGTTTTGTACTAAACTGAATAAGACTAGTTTTGGTAGGGTTAAGTAATAATTGATGATAACAAAAGTAATTATTAAGATCGATTAAGTTTTCCTGAATAGAAGATTCTAGTTCCTTGACTGATCCACCACAAATTTTTAAGTTTGCATCATCTGCATACAGGCAGAGCTTGTTTTGTTTGTTTCCAGACACCAATTTTGGCAAACCATTTATATATATTAAAAATAACAGTGGACCTAGAATTGAGCCTTGTGGTACACCGTGTTTGATTAATTTTGTTTCTGATTTTTTCTTAATTAAATGATTTTTATTTGTTTTTGTTAGTTCAACATATTGTTTTCTATTACTTAAGTAGCTATTAAACCATAACAAAACTGGGTCACGAATTTTGAATCCAGCCAATTTTTTTATCAATAGTGAGTGGTTGACACTGTCAAAAGCTTTTGTAATATCAATAAATATACCTACTACTTTATTTTTAGTTTCAACTGTATTAATGACTGATTCAACAAATTCAACAGCTGCTGTTACAGCAGAACGTCCTTTTCTAAAACCGTGCTGCTCGCCATCTAGTAAGTTATTTTCCTCGAAATGAGTAATCAATCTATTGTACATTGCTTTTTCATAAATTTTAGAAAAAACTGGTAATAATGATAAAGGTCGATAATTTGACATCTTCAATTCATCTCCTTTTTTGAATAGGGGTTTAATCTTTGAAATTTTTAATTTATTTGGAAATATTCCACTGATAAAAGAGGAGTTAATTAGGTGCACTAATGGCTTAAGTAAATATTTTTTTGCATGTTTAATTATTGGCATCGGTATTTCGTCATAGCCTGTAGAGTATTTATTATCAAAGGAGGCTATAATTTTGTCAATTTCTTTTTCATCTACAGGTTTACATTTGAAAAATGGGATATTGATACCTGAACCGTTCAGATAATTTCCAATTTCATCAACTTTATTTAAATTTGGTAAAACTTCACTATCAACAGCATTTATGAAATGATCATTTAACAGATTACATAACTTATTAGTATCAGAATAAATTTTATCATGAACACAAAGTTTAGTAATATTTGAAAAGTTATTTTTGTTACCAACTTCATTGTTTATTAAGTTCCATGTTGTTTTAGTTACATTGTGTGAATTTTTTATTTTTTCATTGAAATACTCTTTTTTAGTGGCATTAATTTTCTTCCTATAATTTTTGCCTTTTGCTTTTGCCAAAGTTAACAACTTTTCATTTTTGTATAATCTTCCAGTATTACTTAGCTGAATTATTTCATCTTTTTTTCTTTTTTTAAGCTATCAGTATACCAATTTAATTTATTATTAGAGTTAATTCTTAGTTTAACAACCGGAAAACATTCATTAAAATATAATATAAATATTCCAATAAACACATCATACTTGTACTCAACTGGGGATTGGTATACCTCAAGCCAATTTTCATGATTAATCTTGTTTAAAAATGCAGTAATATTTTTTTCTGTGAACTGTCTACAACTTTTTGTTATGCTTTTTTGTTTCTTCATAGTTTTGTCAGAAATGTGAAAAATTTCGAAAAATTGACCATCATGATCTGATAACTGAGTGTTAATACCAGACACTTTTGTAATACTTTTATCAAAATTTATTATGATGTTATCAATTGCAGTAATGGAAGTTTCAGTTATTCTAGTGGGGAAATCTACAAGATATTCCATACCATAAGCTGATATTGTGTCGGATAACAGCCAATAGTCATGATCCTTTTTTAAAACATTAATATTTATATCGCCTACTATAACAATTTTCTTAAACCTATTACACATAATCTGTAATGTTGCATCTAATTTTTTACAAAATAACTTTACATTAGTGCTGGGAGAGCGATATATACCCAACAGAAGAAACCGAAAAGAATCAAAGACAAATTCTACTGCACAAAGTTCAAATTCCTTATCAGTTATTATACCACTTAAACTATCTATATTTACAGAATTACATTTGACATGCTTCTTTGAAAGAATTGCAACCCCGCCCCCCCTAATTTTATCTCTGGCAAAGAATGCACTTAGCCTGTGATGTGAAAAATTTAATCTTTCCAACTCCTCTTTTTTCATTTTATGCTCACATAAAATTATGATATCTGGATTTAGTTCTTGAATAGTTATTTCCAAAGATTCAATTCTAGTAGGCAGGCAGGCAATATTTTGATGAAAAATCGTTATGTTTGGAAATTTTGACAATTTGTCAGATTGACAATAATTGTTATTTATAAAAAAGAAGAATTTGGTTGGGTTGCAGTTCCTCCAACAGAAACTGCACATAAGTTAACATGGTTATAAACTGGAGATGAAGCAGGTGACCAACCCCTGAAGGGACTACTATCACTCAGATAAGAAAGATTAAATGCTTCCTGTGTTAACACCTCACTCGCACTCCCATTGGCCTTTGACCCCCCCACATCACTGATCACTGCCGCTGCAGGTATATGGCATTCAGATGTCAAGGAACTACTACTGATGTCAATGGTATTTTCATCCAACAGTGTGAGGTTGGGCTGAACATGTTGCAGAGTGGGTTCGCTGTTTATCTCAGGTAGTGAAGTCATGTCTGTTGGTGATGGTAATGTGTCCGTTGGTGGTGGTGATGATGTTGGCTCTGATCTTGGAAGTGCAGAATCCTGGAAGTTATACATCCTATTTACATGATTCTTGTGTTAAACTGTATGGAAATAGTGGCACTACAATAAAACATATGAATGAATGAATGAACATATTACTAAACAATAACAAAACAGTTTTCTTTTTACAAACCTTCTAAAAGTTGACAACAGTGTGGTAGATTTTGAAACACTCGCCAATACACAGCCCAGCTTCACAGTCAAACTCAGCTCACAGAAGATGCTCTCCCTTCTCACACCACGCTTGTAGTAAACACAGCATCTTTTTTTAGGCTTTGCCTTTTTCTCAGTGGGTGGGATTCGCTCAATAAAATGTCTTTCTGTAAGAGGCGAGAGATGGCTTGGGCTCAATTGATGGCCGTCCAAACACTGGTCTCTTCACCTCTGACCCATAGGTGTGAATCAGGTCCTTGATCAATTGGAGCCTAAATTATAAATGTTTACTTTTCTGGTTCGCTGATTTTCAAATTACATAGGCATTCAGAACTGAAATGTTGAGTAATCTTTTGAATAACTTCATGTATCACTTCAGTCCACGCTTTCGCTCTAAGAGAAAACTGTTAAGCATTTGATCTCTGAGATCAACCCCACCCATTTGTTTGTTGTAGTCAAACACAAGTATAGGTTTTATCTGCTCTTTATCTGCTTTATTTCTCTTAACATCCATTTTGTGGTTGTGGAGTGTTGACAAAAGTGTAACAACCCTTTTGTCGCGCCACTTTAGGACCATTACATTTTGGCAATGTAGTGCAGTAATTTCCCCTTTCTCAAGTTGTGTTTCTTTTCTGAGGAACATTCTTTCTTGAAAGTTTCAATGTACCACAACTGTCAGTTTTTCTATTCTTTAGAAATTTACTAAGCTCTGGAGAGTTGTACCAATTATCCATCCAGACTGTATGTCCTTTGTCGAGCAAGGTTTCCAACAATGTCACAACAATAGCTGTAGATTTATTACTATCTGGTAGAAAGATGGGGCATTCAAATTTACTACCTTTACCCGTGTAAATAAGGAGTGACCACGTAAAACCAGATGATGACTCACAAACTTCAAATGATTTGATCACAAACTGTGCACACTTTAGAGGTAAGTACTGGCGAAATGACAGACAGCCTTTCCAAAGGGTAAGTGACCCATCAATGGATCTGTCTTGTTGCAAGTCATAAGAAGATTTGCACCTGTCATTTAGAAGCTCCACAACTGTAAAAATCTTAGTTTCGAACTGTGACTTATTAGATGAGGCACTAAAATGCAGATATTTACTGATAATTTCAAACCTATTTAGAGACATGGCGCTGGGGAAAGTA